CCCTGACTTGGCGCACTCACTCAACGGATCAACTTAAGCGGAATTAAGTTATGGGTCAACTTTACCCGCCTCTGCTCTATCAACTACATATCAGCATGTAATTTACCAGTTCAAAATATTCGTCTCTCACCTCCGAAGCCGGCGTGTCTGGGCTGACGTCCACAGCACGCGTGCCATTTCCGTCCCGACATTAGTATGTGGTCGCGCGGGTCTTCAGTCCGGCGCTCATTCCGAGCACTTCACTAAGCCGTGAGCAAGTGCCCCTGAAGTCACTGACGCCTGCTCCGCGCGCGTGCGGGCCGGCGCTACTGCAGCTGACGTCCCCCTGTGGCCGGCCGCGGCGAGCCGCCAGGGAGTAGTGCCGCCCGACGCGGCAGGTCGCGGACAGTAGGCCGGCAGCAGGTCACGGACAGCAGGCCGGCCGTGCCGGCGCGCACGCTCGCGCGTTAAGGTCCGTCGGGAGATACTGCGGTGCTAGCGCGTGGGCGCCCACACAGTGGCGCGTTTTGGAGCCACCGTTCCGTCGGGCTTGCATACGGGGCCGCGCGGTTTCCCAACCCGGTACACACCGAGACCGCAACGATTCAGCAACGCTTCCGGAGGTCCCCCCCCCCCGCGTTGGGCGGAGGAGCCTGAACACTGCTTGCTTAAATTAAGGACTTTTCACAAACAAACAAAAAAATTGAAATCACAACTTGCCTTTCATCGAAATGAAGAAGGCCAGATCCCGTGAAAAAATGGGTTAGGGGGGGGGGGGGCAGATTGTCAGGCCTCTGGTTCGTCGTCCCCCCCCCCCCCCTGCGCACCAATAATTCACAACAATTGACACTCCTGACATTGCACAATGTTTTATTGATTTAGGGCACCGACGATACATTAGAAATTGAGCGGCATTAGCAGTGAATGTTCTTATCATTGCATATTGTTCTTATCTTATATCATAAATGCTCTTAGATGGTGAGCAAATGAGAGAGCCCCCGTGCATCCGGTTATAATTTGCGGCTGGTGGGTGTGTGGCCGATCGAGTTGGTTCCGGTTCTGGGAGGTAGGTGCCTAGTACGGACAAAATTAAACTGTTGGCAAAGCATGTGGGCTTGTGCGTAGATTCAGGCGGTATTTCGATGAAAGGCTGCATTTAATCTTCGTCCTTACGCGGAAGAAGTTGACACGTCCTTCCTGCAGATTTCGGTGTCGCTGGCGTGGTCCTGCACTTTTGGCCTGAATGCCTTTTCATCTCGCACTAGCACTAATACAGTTATTAGAACTAGGTTTAATGATTCCACCTGAGATGATAGTAGCGCCTCAAAGTGAGCCCAATTAATCACAGATACCGCTCATTACCCGCTGGGACCAGGGTGCACGGTGCCCAAAAGGTCGATCTCGATAACCCAAATTGTGTTCGGCTTGGGTCTGGCTGTACTTACACTTACTGTACACTTCACATACGCGCATAACCCAACTGGAGAAGATGGAGCACCTGACGTGAGAATGTGACATTGCTGGCCGGCCGGCTGGCACTCGCGGCCGCCCGGCCGCCAGGCCTCGGCTCCAGCTCCGGGGTCACCGCCAGATAGCGCTGCCACTGCCTGGGGACAGGCACTCCCAATGGCGCCCCGCCGCGCTACTAGAGAACCGTCACCCACAGCCCGTCCTGCAACCCCGCCATGCAGGGCCACGCCCACGCCACAACCGCCAAACGAGCCGTGTGCGGCACGGCTGTGTGACGAGGTGAAATCGTGTGACGTGAAATTTTACGTGCAGAGGCGTTCCCAAACTTTCCTCAGGTGGACACCGTTTCCGTACACACAGCATTTTAGGCTTGAATTGGACCGAGGTGCTCGTCGGCCTCTAGCGGCCCGCTGCGCCGACCACTCGTGCATTGGTGCTTACGACCTAGACAGAGGGACTTGGCATGGACGGAAAAATGGAGCTCCCGAGACGAACACATTCGATTTTAATTTTCATAATGTCCATGACACATTGCAGTTCATTTATCTAGGTTGTGTGGCTTAGCGCATTCTACGGAATTCTGCAACGTTGTCAGATATATTTCGTTTCAGGTGACAACTTAACTGTTCCAAATGTCGTCGGTGACAGAAAAGGCATGTTTTCACCCCCGCCAGCTGGAACGGTCTGGCCAGTGTCCCTGGCTGTCCCAGAATGTTCCGTCTAACCCAAGCCCTTGACCGTGGTTAGGTGTAAGCGCACCAGGTGTCGCTGTTCGAGCTAGAAACAGAGACTCTGTCGGCGGCATTGGCCATCAACCAGGCCCAGACGTGTCGCGACGCTGCACTGGCCGCGGTCTGCCGCAGCCTACTTCTGCCCGAGATGAAGTCTGACAGCGTGGTGATGGTGCTTCACCTCGCGGAGATCGGCTCGAGGGCGGCGTCAGAGACCGGTGTGCTCGCCGCGGGATGCGGACTGGCATGGGACCGCGATGACGACCGGACGGCGCTTGCTCAGGCTGGGTCGCGATAGTGGGGCTCATTTGTGGCTGCCTTCGACAGTCACGTGACTTTTAAAACGAGATGCATGGCCCTCGCGAATGTTTTTGCCAACTGTTCGTGCCTCCGCTGAGAACAAGCCGTCAAGTGTCTGTTGTGACAATTTGCAGCGTAGCTCGCTGTTGGCGCTATCACATGCCTGTCAAGTGTATAAAGGAATTAGAACTTGGTGAAAATATCGTTCATGAGTAAAACATAAGCGTGGCTGTGTCATTGGCTGAACGACTTATGTGCCTTTCTCTACGCTGTTGCATGTGCTCTTCATGCCGCAAAATTCTGCATTTTCATTTTAAAACCTTCAAAATATTCATGCTGAAAAGTTGTGGTCTTAATTTACATACGTTCAACGGCAAGTTTGTCCCACTCGGTGATGTTTGCATAATGACATTCTTCTGATCGTGTTACGGCGTTATGCAAATGGTAGAAAATGGCCATATGTCACGTTGTCGTGTCCGACGGGCTGGCGACTCATACTCTGTAGCAGACGATGTTTTGGTCAGACCCGATGTTGTTGAAGTTGTTGAAGCCTGTCTCCCCACGACGCCCGCGCCGGTCGCTGGTCTAACGGGACTGTCGTGTCCGCAACCGTTAGCAGGCGATGTTTTGGTCAGGCCGGATGTTGCTGAAGCCTGTCTCCCGCGACGCCCGCGCCGGTCGCTGGTCTAACGGGGCGCTGCCGTGTCCGCCGCCGTTAGCCTACTCTCGGGCTTGCCACAGGCGCGCTGGAGGCGGAGGCGTCTGGCAAGCCGCACCGTATGGTGATGGTCATGCACCTGATCCTGCTGACGCACCTGCTCGACCAGCTGCTAGCTGGCCATGGCGGCGGTTGACCACGGCGACTCGGAGGCCGGCCTCTTCACGAGGTCGGGAGAGACTATACTGGGTCAGGCGGTCTGATATATGCCTTCTCTCTTCAGGGAGAAAACGCATTTGATCGTTGTTTATCTAGTTTTGAATGTAACTCACTATTGCGGACACACAGACGAAATCACTGGTGGATTACTTGACATTGGAGCTTCTCGGCCGATAACGGCACCGCCTGTCGCGTGGTCGTGCCCCTGTGCTGGCCGTCGCGCGAGATGGCTGGCGTGACTTCAACCAATAGCCTGTCATTACTCGCGTCTCTGCACTCCCTTACACGAATCGAATAAATAGAAACAAAGTGATCGTGAGTACGCAAAGTGTTTCACAGCCTTTCGTGAAGACGTTTACAACCCACAATGATGTCCACTAAGTTGTCCACTCTGTCACTGAGGTCGACGGCGGCAGCCTACTCGGATGGTATGTGGTAAAGAACTGTAGCTTGCTAAGTGATAAGTATCTCGGGCTCTCCTGAAGACAGCAACATCGATGCCATTTTGATCGATGCCATTCAAGAGGAGCTGTATATCTAATTTTCAAAATGGAGCGTTTTCTAGTGTGCTCTATCAGCACCTTGTTTACGTCCGAGAATTAATCATTTTGAAGATAAACGGTCATGCTGATGCTGACCCGTTATTGATAACATTATCACGTTGATGCTGACTTGTTGATGACATGACTACGCTGAACCCTGACTGTTATTGATGACATGATCACGCTGACGCTGACTTGTTATTGATGACATGATCACGCTGCCGTTGGACTGTTATTGATGACATGATCACGCTGACGCTAGACTGCTAATGATGACATGATCACACTGACGCTGGACTGCCATTACGTTACAGCACTTCCCATGTCCCTCTCCCATCATTGCCTAACGGTCATGCACCGGTAACGGCACGGCAACAGGGGACGCGAATTTTGCAGTGTCTTCCGCTGCTCTTTTTTATCTACAGCCTCATTTCGTACTTTTTTGTATTCAGCACAAATAGTAGAAGCTCAGCACCCCCTCAGTAACGACCCTTGGTGGCTCAAAATCGCTCGTTTGCAAGGCGAGTGTGCTGCGTTTCGAGGTGCTGACTGACCCGCCTTTGAGTTGCAGCGTTGGACCTCTTCAACGTGATGGTTTTTGTCGTTTGCTCCGTGTTCAGCTGGATTATCGCGTCAAGCAAGCCCGGGGCGCAGCAACCGAAACTACACGTGCCACTGAGAGAAACGTAAAAGGACGTCTGTTTGGCATAACGCTGCGCTACACACATATGTCAGGTTCAAGGCCATGTAGTAGGTTATATTCTTTCCTCTTGATGTTACGTGACGACAGACCCTCTCCCCCCCCCCCCCCCCTCCCAGCCCTCCCCCGGTCGCCGCCAACCTCTGTCCCCCCCCTAGTCAAACTTCCGTAAAATATGTGCTGCATGCTTGGGAACTGGTTCAACTTGTTTGCCTCCTACCGCACCTCATCACACAACGGCTGGATCGGTCCACGCACTGACGCAGCGAAAAAGGCGACGATGGCACGGCAGGTTGCATGCCTTCCCGAGCATCACAGAGCAAGAAGTGTTGACAAGTGTCCCATGCAACCACACTTGCCTTGCCCATGTCTCTCGCACCTGCGAGGCCAGACAAGCCGAGTAGCATTTGTACTTTATATTCCTAGCTCAGGTGGACAAAATAACACTAGAGCCCGCTGGCGTCCGCTAAGCGAAAGTCCACGTCTTCGAAATCACGTCAGCCACACCTAAGTACAAGCCAGAGAGCAAATGTACAGCTAATGCCGGGGCGGGAAGCCGTTTTCACATTCTCTCGCTATGACCTCATCCCGAGTACGGTAGGGCTGCAGGGCGCAGGCAGAGGTCAGCCGGCGCTGGGGCCGCGTGGGCACGCATTTACGTCCCGTGCGCGACACGCCACCCTACAACACGAGTCAGGGGGGGGGGGTTCGGATACGACTATTTTTGCATGAGGCCGCAGGCGACATACAAAGCACTCCCGTGAGGTCACCATACTCACCAGTGACGTCAGGGAGTACCCCGGCCAGAAAATATCGCCAAGACCACGGCTGCCGACGCAGTCACAGCACCCAGGCAGACTTTTGAGACGTCGCCGACATACGTTCGAACATGGGACATGTTGAAGTGAGGCCACCGCTTCCGGTAACGCCGTCGCGGAACATGTGGTGTACATCACGGCCGTCAGTCCTGCGCCACGTCCCGCACTTCGGCAGCCCCACACACATAATCCAGTACCGGAAAACAGCCCAGTCTTGCCGCGCAACAGATCCCAGTGACGTCAAGGAGGGTCACAGTGACGCGCACAAGTCGCTACGGTAGTGTCTGCCGGACCGCCGCCCGCGTCCAGCTCCCCCGTCTGAGTTCAAGCCGTGACCACACACATTCTGTCTCGATCACTTGTCTCGCGCCTTGCCACAAACTACAAGCCCGCGACCCCCTCCCCCTCCCCCCTCCTTCCGAACTGCAGGGGCGTTCGTTCCGCATGCCTCCTCCCCAGGTCTTCCTATGGACCGGCTAGCTCTCTCTGACAGCCAGCTACCACAAAGGAGGCGTGTTCGTCCCGCACCGACCCACTCCCAGCGTGGCGCGAGACCGGAGCTACGCGGCGCTCATAACCGCACGCCACTGGCCGCGCGGTGCGGACCTAGACGTCACGGAACGTGAACCACGACGCCACTGCACCGGGCTGCGGTGGCAGCACGGAGCGCGTCCGATGACGTCACTCGACACCACACTGAGCCGCCGCCACGACCGGAGCGACAGCCGCATCCCGCGGATCTACAAGTGACGTCACTATGACATCGCAACGACACGCGCGGCGGGGAGAGGAGAGGGTGCGTGTCTGTATTACCGCACAGCATACCTAAACACGGTTTGGTCTGGTCTGGTTTGGTCTAGCCTGGTCTGGTCTGGTCTCGGGAGTCGTGGAACAAGCTCGAAGCGATAGCATGCCGCGTGCGTGATACAACCCCCGCCATTTCTTCCCGCGTTTTTTCTCGAGATTCGTCATGGCGGGACTCTGCCGCGTGACGGCGGAGTCATGGCGGGACTCTGCCGCGTGACGGCGGAGTCATGGCGGGACTCTGCCGCGTGACGGCGGAGTCATGGCGGGACTCTGCTCTCTGCGGTCTCCGTCCTACGTGCTCCAACCACAACTCTGCGGTAGCGCTCCTCACTGTAATTGTTCGGAGTGACGTACCAGGACACCTTCTCGCGGCAGTTCATCGCGAGCTAGAGGGCGGAGGTCTCGCAACGTCCCCCTAGCTGCATGCCGGACAATTCTGCCATTCCCCGCTCCCCAAGCGACCCTTACACCCTGCAGGGGGCAGCTGCGCGCCAGCGGGCCCTCCTGCGGCGGCCGACCGTCTGCGCGTCGCCGGTCCGGCCGGGACCCTCGCCCGCCCGGCGGCTCTGTGCCGGCTGGCCGGCCCGCAGCCGGCCCAGGCCAGGCTGCTCACACACCACCAGACACTCGGCGCCTCACGGGCTCGACTCGGCCGCGCACGGCCGCCCTACGCTACACGGACGCCACTAGCAGTAGCCGCCCGTCATTGGTGCAGGTGGCGCGCGTAGCGGACCAACACGAAGCCGGCGCACGCCACGGCGGCCAATCCGACGCCGAGCTTCAGCCAGCCGCCGTTGTCGCGAGGAAGCAGCCCCAGGCTGCGCAGGTGCCTGCAAGGGGAGCGGCGGGGGTCAGCCGTCGGGCGGCGGCAGCGCGGTAGATCGGTTCAAGGCTTTGTGCCACGTCACGAGCATGATGGAAGCTAAATACCGCCCCCACAGCACAACACCCACTCCCGTACGAGATCAGATACGAGATGATATTTATTGGAAGTTTGATTCAAAGGCGATGTCTCGCAATATGTTACTTAATGCAGCAATGCTGCGACTTTCGGTGCAATGACTGGCCACCTGCACCGGACTGCGCGCATCCAGACACGTGCATGTCACGTGATCACAAACCAATACTACCTGGCAAATGACGTATCATCTGATACTGTATTGAACTGAACATGCTTACCAAGAAAGGCGCATGGTACGGTTAAAGCCACAATCGTTGACCTCGATTGGGCTGTACCAGTGAATACATGTAATTTTTTACTGAAAGTCAATCATGCAGTACCACGGAAATATTCCATAAGCCATCTTATTGGACCTAGACAGCAATCATTCCTAAAAGGCAGTCAGGCACTATAAATATTGCGAAGAGGCGAACCAGCCAACTCATTTAATTCGCAGCCGTTGCAAGCAGAGCGAAACAATACAGAGAAACGAGGGGTCCGGTCAGAGTCGAACACAGGAGCGCTCCCGCGAGCACCGAACACAGGAGCGCTCCCGCGAGCACCGAACACAGGAGCGCTCCCGTGAACACCGAACACAGGAGCGCTCCCGTGAGCACCGAGCACAGGAACGCGCCCATGAGTGCCGAACACAGGAGCGCGCCCGTGAACACCCAACACAGCAGCGCCCCCGTGAACACCGAACACAGGAGCGCTCACGTGAGCACCGAACACAGGAGCACTCCCGCGAGCACCGAGCACAGGAGGGCTTCAGCGAGCACCAAGCACAGGAGCACCCCCGTGAACACCGAACACAGGAGCGCCCCGTGAACACCGAACACAGGAGCGCTTCCGCGAGCACCGAACACAGGAGCGATCACGTGAGCACCGAAGGCAGGAGCGCTCCCGTGAGCACCGAGCACGGAGGCGCTCCCGTGAGCACCGAGCACAGGAGCACGCCCGTGAGCACCGAACACAGGGGCGCTCCTGCGAGCACCGGGAATCTGCCTGCCACCGACAGGTACGTATTTGGTATCGCCGACTATACGAGTTACAAACCAGTTATCTAGCAAAGTCCCGCCAGGCGGATGGCATTGATTTGGCCCAGCAAAAGAAGAAAAAACAGCGGTCACATATGAATCACAGAACCGACGGTAGGTGGCGGGCTGGGGATCCAAGGAGCAAAGGAATCCAACGGTCGAACAGCAGAGCGCAATTGCGCCAAGGGCTGCGCCACATGCAGGTGGGCATGTAGGCAAGCATTAATGGAAAAGGAAAAACAGGAGGGAGCCAGGACACCGAGAGACGTGAAGTGAAGTGGCATATAATAAGCGGGAGAAAAGACGCCAAGCAACTGCCGAACAGGGCAACGAGCGACCACGGCAGGTAAAATAAGCAGCAGAGAAAGAAGAGAGAGAGAAACATGCGAACGGAACAGTATGACGTAAGTGCAGAAGTGGCCAGAACGCCCGACAACTGACCTTCCGCTCCGCGAGAAGAGCATCCACGCGGGCAAGAACCGCCTGCGGTGCCCAGGAGGCGAGGGAGAGGACCAGAGGAGGTTAGTACCCGGCCGCCGGACGCTCGGCTGGCCCGGCGCAGGGTCGGACGCGCCCCGCCGCACAGCTCAGGCGACGGTACAGCACCACAGCGCGGACACCAGCACCATTGTGGGGGCAGGCGGGTCAGGCTGGGCTGCAGCGGCGGCGGCGGTGGCGGCGGGCGTGACCCAGCGCCAGGCTCTGCAGCGGAACACCCCAGGCCAGGTCCGGCTCCGGGACAGCCGCGGTCTGACCGCCGCGGTCCGAGATGGACGGATGGCACAGCGACACCGCATACGCCACACAGGCCCACGCGACAGGCCCAACAAATGGCGCCCCGGCCGAAGCAGTACACACCTCCCCCTCCCCCCGCCAGACCCAACACACGGCGCCCCGGCCGAAGCAGTACACGTCACACATACCCACGCGCCAGGCCCAACAAACGGCGCCCCAGCCGAAGCGGTGCACGCCACACCACCCCCACGCGCCAGGCCCAACAAATGGCGCCCCGGCCGAAGCAGTGCACGCCTCTCCCTCCCCCCCCCCCCCCCCCCCGCCAGACCCAACACACGGCACCCCGGCCGAAGCAGTACACGCCTCTCCCTCCCCCCCTCCCCCCCCCCCCCCCCGCCAGACCCAAGACACGGCGCCCTGGCCGAAGCAGTGCACGCCACGCCACCCCCACGCGCCAGGCCCAACAAACGGCGCCCCGGCCGGCCCCAGGTGACGCTCATGCCTGGGCTCAGACTGGCGGAGGCGCCGCCTTTCGGCCAGAGGTGGCGAGGCAGGCGACAACGGACCACCGGCACGGCCGGACAGCGACATGGAAGGGGTGTAGCTCTTGAAGTCAATAACTAGATCCACAAGTTGACTTTTTCGCCTTTTTCTACGATCATGACACCACAGACAATGAAAAGAACTGAATTTCAGGGTGCCGTGAACAATGCTTACAATTAATTATTTGCATGTTTTCTTGTACTTTCCAGCAAACATAAGATACGTTATTGTCACCATGGCTACAGTGTCATCATTGTCATTGGAAAGAAGGCCGGGTCCAGGAACAGATCGGCAGGACCTGGACCACCACAGCAGAGGAGGCGACCGATCTCCGCTTGCGCCGCCTATGCTCCGAGCGTTACGTCACTGGGTCTCCCGCGCGGGCACGCGCGCCCCTCTCCGTAGGAGGTAGATACAGCGACGGACGCGGCGGCGGACCGGACGGGCGGACGACACCCGCCCCACAGCAGACGAAAGCAGACGAGAGCTGCAGCCCGCGCGACACTGGCGCCGACGCGGCCAGCCAGTGAAGCTGCCGCCCAGCTGAGGGCAGGTGGCACATACAGCTGCCGAGGGGGCAGGAGAGGCAGGCCCCAGGCCGGCGGCATCCGAGCCACGCTCACAGCAGGGCGGAGCTGCACCACCCGCCATCACGCATACGGCTGCCGAGGGGGCAGCAGGAGAGGCAGGCCCCAGGCCGGCGGCATCCGAGCCACGCTCACAGCAGGGCGGAGCTTCACCACCCGCCATCACGCATACGGCTGCCGAGGGGACAGCAGGAGAGGCAGGCCCCAGGCCGGCGGCATCTGAGCTACGCTCACAGCAGGGCAGAGCTTCACCACCCGCCATCACGCAACGCAATCATCCGTACCGCGCCAGGGACGCACGCCACACTTGGCCACAGGCACGCTGCGGGACAGAGGTGTGGGTGGTTCACACGCCACAGGCTCCCACCCGGAGAGATCACACACCCTCGTCATCCAGAGGGGGGCTTACCCTGCCACCGCTTTAGCGACGCCACGCTGCCCCTCATGTCACTCACACTCCCGCAGGCCCTGAGAGGCGGCTGAACCAGCACCGCTCTAGCGACCCCACACCGCCCCCGAGATTACTGTTGCTCTTCCCGCTCGTGCTCCACGCAAACCAGCAGCGACAGGCATGCCGCAACCACCAGCCACCACCCGTAAGTCAACATTCTCACAAATCATGCGGGCAATGCTTCGACACCAGTGTCGAAAACGCATCCCCTAGTCTTTTCAGTGCACAGTGCGCCTTTTGCCGTGTGCGAGCACAGCGAGAGGCCGGCGTTTGGCCAGCCGGCTGGGGACGGCGCGGGGGCAGGTCGGCGCGCCTACTCACGGGTAGGCGGCCATGGTGGCCAGCTTGAGGTAGACGTCCCGCCGCACGGCGCCGGTGCACGTGACGCTCTGAGGCGGCGGCAGCCGGTGGCGCCGGCAGAACTCGCCCGGCTGCGTGATGTACTGCTGGCGCACCTCGCCGCGGTCAGACTTGTTGCCCACCACTAGACACGGCACCGGCGTCTCGGCGAAGTACTTCTGCGGACCGCAGCGAGTGGCGAGTGAGTGGTGCCCGTCACTACAGGCACGGTGTTGGCGTCTCGACAAAGTATTACTGCGGACGGCAGCAATTGTCGAGTGAGTGGTGCCCACCACTAGACACGGCACCGGCGTCTCGGCGAAGTACTTCTGCGGACGGCCGCAATTGTCGAGTGTGTGGTGCCCACCACTAGACACGGCGCCGGCGTTTTGGCACAGGAAGTGGTGCAGTTTGATGAAATGGCAACTAATTACCACGAGGTACGACAAACGCCGCCGGTATCTCGTCGCCGCTCGCCACGGCACAGCGCATGCCCAGCCACCTCTCACGCCGCCGAACGCCACACGCAGCATCTCGCGCGCCCAGGACCCAGCCCGAGGCCCTCTCGCTCACCAGGTAGATGCCGCCGATGTACTCGAAGCTGTGCGGGTCGGAGGCGTCGTAGACGAGGCAGACGACGTCGCACTGGGCCTCGGACGGCAGCAGGGTGTCGGTGATGGTGTGCACGTCGATGTCGCGCAGCAGCAGGTACCGCTCCTGGCCGTACACCTGCACCGGGCTGACGGTCTGCTTCGAGAGGTCCGACTCCAGCAGCGTCTCCACCGTCTGGTGGCGGCCAGTGACCGCTTAGTTGGCGGGGGTGGTCTCGCCTGACGGCGCGTGTGGAGAGGGCACAACAGTGCACGGTCCGACACTGAGAACTGAACGCTTCCAATGCCGCGGTAATGTGTTCGCAAAACACATCAGCAGCCAGTGAGTAGCTCCTAAATCTTTTCGGCAGCTTTTTCTGCACAACACTATCATAGTGATGAGCCAAATTTAGGGCGGCCGCGCGCCAAAAGACCATTTACCAACACTTCTCCTATATAGGGATAGACGATACTACAGGCGTTTCTGGGTGATATTAACAGGGAGCTCCAGCCGGCCCCTCCCCCACCGAACCCGTCCCCCATGGCTGACCTCGACGTTCCGATTCAGCAGACCCTGGCAGAAGGTGGTCTTGCCGGCACCCTTGGGGCCAATCACGTGACACTGGTAGGCCGTGCGAGAGGTCTGCTTCTTCTGCAGATCCAACCGCTTCTCCCGGGTCACTGCCGCACAGTGACATCTAGTGAGCGCGTTAGGAACTAGCACGTCGTCCCGCAGCTGGCAGTGACATGAAGCGACTGTAAGGGAACTTCACGCAAGGACTCACGGGTGCAAAGTGGCACTTATGAGGCTGAGTGAAGTTGGCGAAAATGGGGGGGGGGGGCTGGAGAACAACGGGACTAAGTGCGATGTTGAACAGAGCGTGCGCGACCCACGTGCAGGGATAGACGATACTACACAAAGCTACTCCAGCCCGTTTCACTTCAGGTATGTTAAAATGCAAAACACTAGCAATGGTGCAATTTCGACAATACCCGACATTTTCTACCCTGATACTAGGTCAGAGCTCCGTGACCTTGAGTCAGAGCGATGACCCTTGACCAGGGGGTGGTGAACAAGGTCACTGCACAGTGACATCGTCCCACATCGACACCGTACCCCAGGTCATGGTAACGCAACTTCCTATCAAAGCAGAGTGACCCTTCGTTAAGGTTGGCGACTCTTAGACTGAAACAGTGACCCCGGGTCAGAGCGCGGCGACCACGGTCAGAGCGCGGCGACCCCGAGTCAGAGCACGGCGGTCCCGGGTCAGAGCGCGGCGGCCCCAGGCCAGAACACGGCGACCCCGAGTCAGAACGTGGCGGCCACGGGTCAGAGCGCGACGGACCCGGGTCAGAGCGCAGTGACCCCAGATCAGAGCGCGGCGGTCCCGGGTCAGAGCGCAGTGACCCCGAGTCAGAGCGCAGTGACCCCGAGTCAGAGCGCGGCGGCCTCAGGTCAGGGCGCAGTGACCCCGGGCCAGAGTGCGATGGCCGCTGGGTCAGGGCGCGACGGTCCCAGGTCAGGGCGCAGTGACCCCGGGCCAGAGTGCGATGGCCGCTGGGTCAGGGCGCGACGGTCCCGGGTCAGGGCGCAGTGACCCCGGGCCAGAGTGCGATGGCCGCTGGGTCAGGGCGCGACGGTCCCAGGTCAGGGCGCAGTGACCCCGGGCCAGAGTGCGATGGCCGCTGGGTCAGGGCGCGACGGCGCCGGCTCGGCCGTACCGTGGATGGCGGCCGACTGCAGGTCCTCCATCACGTAGCTGTAGCCGAGGTGGCCGAGGAACTCGAGCGTGCGGCCGGCGCCCAGCAGCGTCCACAGCGTCCACTGCGAGAGGTACCCCTGCAGCGTGAGGTAGCCTCGCTGGTCGGTCGGCACCGTGTTGTACACCTGGCGGCGACGGACGGCGGTCAGCGGCGGCGGCGGCGGTCGGCCAGACCTGCGGGCGGCGCCGAGAGATGGCAGCACATGCCGCAGTCGTGCCGCCTGACGTCAGGCAGCCAGCGAGGAGAACACAGCCGACTGTAGTGACGGCTGCCGCACCTGTTGTGAGAACGTGTGCAGATAGCAACAGACTGCTAACAGATCTAAAAGCGTGGGAATGGGGCGCAGCCGACAAGCCGTGGATCCTGAGGCACAGCGCAGGTCGAGAGCACCTCCGGGCCGCCGCCACCGGGGACGGGGCACACGCCGGACCGCCACCATTCGGGCGCGACCGCCGCACCCGCCACCGCAGACTGGTTAGCGTCGCCGCCCTCCCCGCCGGGGACGACGGAGAGCGACGCGTCACAGACGACCGTAAGGAGAGGAATGAACGCATGTGCGCTTACCTCGGCCACCGATGGACCGAGCGCAAGGCCGTGCACGTGCAGGGCGGGCCTACATCCGTCAAGCGCCGAGCAGGGCACATGGCAGTCAAATGCTCAGGTTAGGCGAATGTGCCGAAATGCCCGTGTGATCCAATGGACTCTATGCTGCGGAGTCAGGCCGCGAGGCCAGGCGGCTCTATAGGCTGCGGTGCGCCTCTGCACGTGACGCGCGTCTGCCCCTGCCCGTGCGGGCGACGTCGGTCGTACCTGCTTGCCCCCGGGGTATGTAGGGGCTCCGGGCAGCGGCGGTCGCACCTGCTTGCCCCTGGGGTATGTAGGGGCTCCGGGCAGCGGCGGTCGTACCTCCCTGCTCCAGGGTATGTAGGGGCTCCGGGCAGCGGCGGTCGTACCTGCTTGCCCCCGGGGTATGTAGGGGCTCCGGGCAGCGGCGGTCGTACCTGCTTGCCCCCGGGGTATGTAGGGGCTCCGGATGGCGGCGGCCGTACCTGCTTGCCCCCAGGGTATGTAGGGGCTCCGGGTGGCGGCGGTCGTACCTGCTTGCCCCAGGGTATGTAGGGGCTCCGGGTGGCGGCGGTCGTACCTGCTTGCCCCAGGGTATGTAGGGGCTCCGGGTGGCGGCGGTCGTACCTGCTTGCCCCAGGGTATGTAGGGGCAGGTGGAGAAGAGCTGAATCAGCTCCTCCGGGTCCAGGCAGCCGTCCTTGTCCACGTCGTACTTCTCAAACAGCGTCTGCGGTCGACATGGGCCCAGACACGTCAGCGCATCACACTAGACATCGGCCAGACGTCACGTGCACACCACTCCCAGGTCCGCCAGCGCGGCGCGGCACTCCCGTGTCGCGCGCTCGGCCGGCGCCACATGACAGGCTCCGGAGTCGCCACTGGTGGTGAGGCGGCACTGAATTCCGGGACAGCGTACCAGTCGGCCGGCGCCCTGCACACGCAGCTCTTGGAGAGACCTGCGGCACGACTGACCTGCAGGAACTGGTAGCCCTTGTGCGTGAGCTCCGTCGAGCAGCCCGGCGGGATCCGCAGGCTGGAAGAGCGCCGGCGCGTTACATCGCGTGCCCGGTGGCGAGCCCTAGGGCCGGTCGAAACGCCCCGCAGCACGACGAGGTCACGATTGGGGACGGCCGTGAAGCTCGACCACACGAACTCAGCTGGTCATGAGGGACGGGGAAGCTCGAGGAGTAGCGTGATCTGTCACGAGTGCACGCGGGAGATGCCCCGAACCCGGCATCAATGAGGCGACCCTTCAGGCCAATGGGGAACCAATGTCGGCTGGTAGATGGAGATGGCGCAGCGACGGAACGGAGATAGTGGTGATGACAGACACGTCAGATGAGGAGGTCAGGGTTAATGGATGGGGAGCGCCACGATAGAACAGCCTGTCTTAAGGGATGGGACGGGTATGGAACTGACGAAGATCTGTGTGTGGAGTGTCTGGTGTCTGTGTCTGGTGTCTGGAACAGCAAAGGTGGGCGACGGATGCCAGTAGTGTCAGAATGTCGGAAAGTTGGCATGTCGGAATGTTGACATGTCGGAGTGCGAGCATGTCGGAACGTTAGCATGTCGGAATGTCGGTATGTCGGAATGTTGGCGTGTTGGAAGTGTCGGAATGTCGGAATGCTGGCTTGTCGGAGCGGCGCGTTCGGTACATAGTCCCGGCGTCCCACGTTCAGGGTCGGACATCCCTACTCGTCGCGTATGCTGAACGGAGCGAAACATCGGGTCTGCACGACACCGAGCTCCCGCCTGACCGGGCAGAAGGGACGTCACGAACACGCGGTACCGGGTAACCTGCGGACGGTGGACAGGCGTCGGCCGCCGCCTCCAGGCAGTCTGCCACTCACGGTGGGAAGAGGTACTCCTTGGTGAGCGTCAGATCGTCACCGTAGCCGAACTTCCTCAGCACGGTCCAGGTGGTCTCATGCCGGCCGCGCTGGATGAACAGACAGTGCAGGAAGAGGAACCCTGCCGGACGGGCGGAGCGCGCACGTGAGCGGCACGAACCCGAGGGGCGGCCGCTGGAGGCCGCCGCGCGCCGCTCCGCAGTTCCGTTCCGCAGTTCCGCAGAATCAGACCACCTAGCGCCCAAAGGGCTCCCTCCTATCTCATCAGTGGTCGCCCATACTGTCCTCTGTTGCTACTGACCGTAGTCTTCTTTCAAGCGGCCACTCCCCGCCACGTCGACAAACACAAATGATGAACGTCATCCTCACAAAAAGACCGTACGAATCCACTAGCGTCGCGTCATGAACAGCCATCAACCAAACTCACCCAAGCACAATCCACCACACATTTTAATTAGCACCTGTTAACCAGCTACAATTCCCCACCACTTTGGGGATATTTACGCCCTACGAGCTTTTACTACGATCGACCCCCTCCCTCCAGCGCCGCGTATCTCCTCCCCATCCTGGCCACTCCTGCACCCTGGCTTCCTTCCCCTGCCTCTCATACGCCATCACCGTCTACCACACCCTCATTCCTCTCAACCTCACTGCTGTCAATTCCCTACTCTCACCCTTTGTAGCATCTGTCCGGGTACGTTCACCTTGCCGCGCGTTCATTTCACGGAAGTCTATCAATTACTGCACCGTCTGCTGTCGCCGATGTCTCCGGCGCTGTCGTCTGTCGTCTGCTGCCGGAGATGCTCCCCTGCAGTGTCGTCTGTTGTCTGCTGCCGGTGATGCTCCCCTGCAGTGTCGTCTGTTGTGTGCTGCCGGTGATGCTCCCCTGCAGTGTCGTCTGTTGTCTGCTGACGGTGATGCTCCCCTGCGGTGTCGTCTGTCGTCTGCTGCCGGTGATGCTCCCCTGCAGTGTCGTCTGTCGTCTGCTGCCGGTGATGCTCCCCTGCAGTGTCGTCTGTTGTCTGCTGCCGGTGATGCTCCCCTGCAGTGTCGTCTGTTGTCTGCTGTCATCCGCGTTCCCGCGCTCAGCCCAGCCGGGACCGGCGGCCGGCCGCGCCCGGCCCGACGAGCCCCGCCGTCGCCCCGCCAGCCGCCCCGTCACGCGAGGCGTACCCAGACGCCGAACTGCCCACAGTCACGTCAGTGTACTGCTGCTGTATAACGCAGCTGCAGCGGGTACTTCATGGCCACGCGCCCAGCATGGCGTAGACGTGTCATCGGCTCTGGGTTCAAAGCATAACACGACTGTTGGTTGTTGTTTATTGGGGCTTTTGGGCGCGCCGACTGCAGCGGTCATTTGGCGCCCCTAACGAGGGTTGCAGGAGCCACCGACGGCATTCCTGTCATCTTCTGGCCGGTACTGCCGTCGTCGCTGCCAGTGACGCCTGCGCTGGCAGGTGCTGTCTCTGCCGCTCCACCAACCGCTAGCGTTGTTAGTCAGTCCCCCAAGCCTGCGCCGCCTCTGCCGCTCCACCAACCGCTAGTGTCGCCAGTTAGTCCCCCACGCCTGCGTCGCCTCAGCCATTCCACCAACCGCTAGCGTTGTCAGTCAGTCCCCCACGCCTGCGCCGCCTCTGACGCTCCACCAACCGCTAGTGTTGCCAGTCAGTCTCCCACGCCTGCGTCGCCTCAGCCGCTCCACCAACCGCTAGCGTTGTCAGTCAGTCCCCACGCCTGCGCCGCCTCTGCCGCTCTACCAACCGCTAGCGTTGCCAGTCAGTCCCCCACGCCTGCGCCGCCTCCGCCGCTCCACCAACCGCTAGTGTCGCCAGTCAGTACCCCACTCCTGCGTCGCCTCTGCCATTCCACCAACCGCTAGCGTTGCCAGTCAGTCCCCCACGCCTGCGCTGTCTCTGCCATTCGATCGACCGCTAGTGTCGCCACTCAGTCTCTTCACCCAACCATGCGTCGCCGCTTGTCACGGCGCCGTTTTTTTTTTTGTAAGAACTTCAGGACTCTAAGTGTCTCTGTATGGGCCCACCGCCAAAAATGGTAGAGGCATGCTTCATCCCTTTCCAACTGCCATGTCCCCTCCACTCTCACCTCTCAAGCCCAAGTTTGCCCACTCCCACCCTCCCCGCGCTTAACTCCCCATTCTACCCTTCCATCACACTCAACCCTACCCCACCCTCACCACTCATACTCTCATCCCTTCTCTTCTCTTTCTTCACTCTCTCCTCTCCCTGACCTACCGTCCAGCGTGAGCGAGTCGTCCACCACGCCGTCGCGCACGTTGCTGACAACGATTGCCTTGACGTCCTCCAGGCCCTGCGCCTGCAGCGGCGCGTTGAAGCAGCGCCGCTGGAACGTGTTCAGCTCGTCGTCGCTAAGCAGGCCGTCGTTGTCCATGTCGCAGATCTGGGGTCAGGTCAGGTCAGGTCAGGTCAGGTCAGGTCAGATCGGGTCAGGCCAGGTCAGGTCGGGGCGGGTCGGGACGGCACAAAGCATCGCCAGGCTATGTGAGAGCAGGCCCTTTGTGCACACTGACCGCAGTCGCCTCATCCGTTACGCGACAGTGTCCAGCGTTCACACTAGGGCGCCACGGTGGAAAACCTGCAACAACGGGAGCCCAGACTGGGGAAACGACGAGCCATCCACTCCAGCGAGTGGCACCTTCAGTCCTTGTCATTACCCTGAACACGCCAGCAGGCGGACGATGCGACCGCACGCGTGAGCGGGCGGACCGACCACGCCCGGAGCCCAGTACCAATCGGTCCCCCAGCCCGTGTCTGGCGCGGCGGACCGGCCACGCCCGGAACCCGGTACCAATCGGTCCCCCAGCCCCAGTGTCTGGCGCGGAGGACCGACCACGCCCGGAACCCGGTACCAATCGGTCCCCCAGCCCCAGTGTCTGGCGCGGCGGACCGACCACGCCCGGAACCCAGTACCAATCGGTCCCCCAGCCCCAGTGTCTGGCGCGGAGGACCGACCACGCCCGGAACCCGGTACCAATCGGTCCCCCAGCCCCAGTGTCTGGCGCGGCGGACCGACCCCGCCCGGAACCCGGTACCAATCGGTCCCCCAGCCCCAGCGTCTGGCGCGGAGGACCGACCACGCCCGGAACCCAGTACCAATCGGTCCCCCAGCCCGTGTCTGGCGCGGAGGACCGACCACGCCCGGAACCCAGTACCAATCGGTCCCCCAGCCCCAGTGTCTGGCGCGGCGGACCGACCACGCCCGGAACCCAGTACCAATCGGTCCCCCAGCCCCAGTGTCTGGCGCGGAGGAACGACCGCGTCCGGAGACCCCGGTCCCAGCCGGTCCCAGCGGCTGGGACCGACCCACCGACCACGCCCGGACCACGGCTCCATTCGGCCCCAGCGCCTGGCGCGGCGGTGCTCACCTTGAAGATGCGTCCCAGGGCCGCCTTGCAGCCCTCCGTCAGCTGCCGGCCAGGGAGCAGCGGTCAGAGGGTGCCACACAGACCGGCACGGGGACTCAGGGGCGCACCCGGTCTGCACGGCGGGCGGGCGGGCGCCACACAGACTGGCACAGGGACACAGGGGCGCACCCGGCCCGCGCGGCGGGCGGCGCGGGCCGGGACTGGGCACGGGGCATCGTTCTGGAGGGGCGGGGTTGGCCCGTCCAGTCCCAGCTTTCGTATGAATATCGTGGCTGTCTCTTCCCTCTCATCCGGCAGATGCCCGTGTGGAGCTGGTGACCGGCGGCACTGCCGGTCTATCGACAACTTCGCATTAGCCGCACAGGCTGACGTACTGCAAGCTCCAGAGCAGCTACCCCACCTCAGGATGCGAGTAAACACTAATATTAAGAAATCGATATGCCTAACGATTGCTGGGCCTAGTATGCTAAAAGGAAACTTTAAACCCACGCGCTGGGGTGTCAGGAAACACCACCATAGGAAACACATAACGGTTAGTTTCCCAGGCTATTTATATACGTCATTCTTCAGCGGGGCACATCGGCGATGCCGAGTAATTGACCGTGCGGATGCTCATACCGTACCATTTCAAATCTTCGTCTCATGAAACCAGCCCAAACACCATGCTGACTACACCAGGCCGCCCTGGGCCCGACCCCTCGCCATCACCCGCAGAAGTGTGACGTCCCGTGACGCCGCCGCGGGGCGCGGACTCACGTTACGTTCCGCCGTGTTGAACAGCGGCGCGGTGGGGTGTAGAATGGCCTTCTGGGCGTAGTAGAACATCTCCGAGATGTTCTTCAGGGTGCGCGCCGAGCACTGAAAGCCAGCCGGCCTCAAGTTAGCGCGGACCGGCAACTGGGAGGTGGGCCTGGTGTCCACGACCCTCCCGAAGGGGTGAGGCACAGTTATACCCCTTTACAATTACCACTACGTGTTTCCATGACGCGCCACGCATCACCACATGCGTGGCGACGCGTCACGCACCACACACGCAGGCGGGGCCACCCGATGGCATCGCATGCGCACAACACCGTACGGCAACACAGAACGACAGACGTTATATCCCGACAGTTGGTGTCAGCAGCCAGTGGAAACACATTTCGGACCCATCGCTGGTGCCACAGCGGATCATCAGGAAAACTCTCGTCCTCTTCACTTCAAGCGTGAAGTTGTCCTTCAGTCCTTCCAGAACACAAAATTTCCACTGCGTGTCCACAGCGTGTCCACTGCTTAGCGTCGGAAGTGGTGAATGGTCGGAAAGTATGGGAGAATGTGTGGCGTGCCGTATGATTCAATTGCAGCGAAAGTTCACAACCGAATCGTGTTCCTTCGAGAAAGATCCGTTTGTCCACTCATGAAATCTACGACGGTGACAACCGACGTACTTGAAATGGTGACATCTCAAATGGTACTCGAAAGACGCACTCGTACCTTTAGTCAAGCCAATCCGGGATGATGAAATGGATGCTCCATCCCGGTGAGCACGGCAACAACTCCCGCACTCACGACCTCTGAGATATTACCTCTCAGCAGTCAGCCGGCAACACAACCCGACCGGCAGCTGCGCCCGGCACCCGGCGTAGCTCAGCCACCGCAGCCGACACCAGCTGTCAGGGGTCACCAACAGAGGGCAGTCCAACGTCACCAGCTGTCAGGGGTCACCGACAGAGGGCAGTCCAGCCGTCACCAGCTGCCAGGGGTCACCAACAGATGGCAACCGAGCTGTCACTAGCTATCAGGGATGACCGATGGAGGGCACCCCAGTCGTCACCAGCTGTCAAGGGTCACCGACAGAGGGCACCTCAGCTGTTACTAGCTGTCAGGGGTGACCGATGGAGGGCAACCCAGCCGTCACCAGCTGTCAGGGGTCGCCGACAGAGGGCAGCGCCTCACCTCCACACAGGTCTCGATCTCCGCGAACTCATTCATGATGGGGATGACCGCCTCCAGCGTGCTGTACTCCACCAGGTCCACCTGCGGCACGGGCGGAGGGAGGGGGTCAGAGATGACGCGCTGCGCACACGGAGGTGGCCGGCCCGACTCTGGAAGGTGGCTTGCAGTCAGCGCCACTGCGTCCGGAGTTTGACGAAGATGCAGTCACACCCAGATCCGTACCCGTAGCTGAATCGGCCAGAGCGCCGGCCTCCCAGCCTACCGGTGGCGGGGTGGGCGGATTCGGGCCGCTTCGGCGCCCGCTGTTTGCCCCTGGCTGGGGTGGCTCGCGGCCACACTAGGTCAAGCGGGGTCAGAGGGCGGGCGGACCGTGGCAGGCACTGTAGTGGTTTAAACTTTCGATACAAAAACTATCCGTTGAATCGGAAACTTCTCGATCGGATGGTGGGATATTTACATCACAAGCAGTGGTTAACTTGAACTCGGATTCCGGAAACCAACTCCATCAAAATGTTCAGTTTTCTATCGGTGAACAACAGCTTAACAGCTAGATGAGCGCAACCACTTCCAACAAATGACGTCAGAGCACGTCAAGCATACGGAAACAGATGTCACTATTCGAATAGAAATGTTTAAACATTCCCCCCCCCCCCCCCCCTCTTATTTCGCGCCATCATCGCTTACAGCCTTTAGCCATCTGTCACGCGCAATCGTAGCTTTAGATGCTTACATTTCAAGAAGCAGGTGACGCGAGGCACATGTGACGGTCATGTACGCAAGACCGGGTCATCGGCAGGGTTTTTGTCTAAATTTTCAAACTTTCTCCCACTTTTTAAAGAAACGCAACGCACATCTTCACACGCCCTTTAGGGAACGCCAGCGACAGCAGTGACCATATTAGCGCTCAGGGGCCATGGGTCAGCCGGGATTTGAACCGGGCTCCCCACGTGGGAGCTAAAGGTGCTGACAGTCGGCGATTACGGCCCCAAGTGTCGCAATATGACGCGGTGGAACTAACCAGTTCTTTTTTTTGCGCACCGTTGAGGGTTCCACAGGAACTGGATGTTCTCACGAGCGTCAAACAGGAGCGCACTATCTGACCTGCCTTGGCTTGTACAAATTATTACCCTTGACGAACTTCCTTGCATCAGAATCGACTGCTTTAACAGCTCTTAGCCTCTGCGTATTTGGCCACTTGCCGAGGCGTTTGCCCGTCACTGGTAAAGCGATCCCGTCTCTGGTGCAGCAGTTCCTTTCGCCTCCTGTGTGCCGCCGCGGCCAGGCTCCGGCCGCCCCGCGAGGTAATCGCCACTGCGATCAAGTCGTGTTGATGACTGAATTGTTATTGAACTGCTTCTACGTGGTCTGTTTCCATTTTGTTATTGGGTAGGGTACCGATTTGGGCAATATTTTATGCATATCCTGTCGCAAATATATCCCACATTTTGGGTATGCGGTTGCAGTTATATCACAGTACCATTGCTGTTCCTTTCATCAAGAATCATGTGGCTGCAATGTAACATATTTAGCAAACAAATGGATGTCATGGCCTCCGAGCTTCGGCCAGATCACGCCAGTTTTAACTAGTTTTAACCTATGACCCCAATATGGCAACAGAGACCAGCGTTGTCAAGCTGCAATACTGGGCTCTGCCATATGAAATCCCGGCATTAAACGCTGGGAGATGCTGAAAAGAAGGAATTGAAAGGGAAATAATTATGTTCCGCACTTCAGGGACCCGACAATTTCACCAAAAGCGAAAAGCTCTTAGACACCCCAGTGGACAGGCGAAACGCCACATTGTGGAGGCCAACGCCAGCACGCACATTACGCGTGCGCAGCGCGGCAGCACCTACCTTGTTTCCGACCAGGATCACTGGCGTGGAGTGGCCCTCCCCGAGTGTCTGGCGCACCAGCGGCAGCCAGTAGTCTGTCACCTGAGGACAACAACATCAGCTCAGGTCGGGCAGATGTCTGGCGCACCAGCGGCAGCCAGTAGTCTGTCACCTGAGGACAACAACATCAGCTCAGGTCGGGCAGATGTCTGGCGCACCAGCGGCAGCCAGAAGTCTGTCACCTGAGGACAACAACATCAGCTCAGGTCGGGCAGATGTCTGGCGCACCAGCGGCAGCCAGAAGTCTGTCACCTGAGGACAACAACATCAGCTCAGGTCGGGCAGATGTCTGGCGCACCAGCGGCAGCCAGAAGTCTGTCACCTGAGGACAACAACATCAGCTCAGGTCGGGCAGACGTCTGGCGCACCAGCGGCGGTCCAGTCTGCCGCTGCCTGGGACGCGGACGTCAGCTCAGGTCGGGCAGACGTCTGGCGCACCAGCGGCGGTCCAGTCTGCCGCTGCCTGGGACGCGGACGTCAGCTCAGGTCGGGCAGACGTCTGGCGCACCAGCGGCGGTCCAGTCCGCCGCTGCCTGGGACGCGGACGTCAGCTCAGGTCGGGCAGACGTCTGGCGCACCAGCGGCGGTCCAGTCTGCCGCTGCCTGGGACGCGGACGTCAGCTCAGGTCGGGCAGACGTCTGGCGCACCAAGCGGCGGTCCAGTCTGCCGCTGCCTGGGACGCGGACGTCAGCTGAGGTCGGGCAGACGTCTGGCGCACCAGCGGCGGTCCAGTCCGCCGCTGCCTGGGACGCGGACGTCAGCTGAGGTCGGGCAGACGTCTGGCGCACCAGCGGCGGTCCAGTCCGCCGCTGCCTGGGACGCGGACGTCAGCTGAGGTCGGGCAGACGTCTGGCGCACCAGCGGCGGTCCAGTCCGCCGCTGCCTGGGACGCGGGTCGTCACGGCAATGTCCGCCAGCTGCCGGCACACGGTTGTCCGGCCCTTGCGGGGTATGACCATAACTCTCAGGTAGCATCGACCTCCCTTGAACACATCGGTTGCACAGCCATGCAGTGGGCTACCCGTTGGCTGGCAGCTCAGCTTTTCCACTCATGGAAAACTGCCCTCATTTGCCGGTCGCGAACAGCACCATGTGGTGCTTGTCACACCTTGTCAAGGGTGTCCTCATCGTCGACGGCGTAGATGACACAGATGACATGCGCCCGCAGCAGCTCCGCCAGCAGCTGCTCCTCTGTCTGCTCCAGTGCTGCCACACACAGGACAGTCAGCACATGCCACCAGTCAGAGCTGGTCATGGGGTGGGTCACTGCTGCCAAAACTTTGTCTGATCTATATCATATATCATCTGAGCATTGTTTTTTCTGTAATCCAATACCACATATCACCATGATTTTCTCCTGCAGTGCTAAAGCCATACCTTCATATGGCTAAAGAGCAGAGTAATTTTGCAATATGAGGGTGCCAATATCAGAATGTCAGTTTTCATGATCAAATTTAGTGATGCATCATGCTAAGAAGACATGTTCTAGACCTTCATGTATCAACACTTGTTAAGATTTTAGCACTTACTATTCTAGCATGCTAAGATGCCAAATGCCAAATGCCTCAACAAATGACTTCAAAAACAACTTGGCCCATAGTGCCTACATTAATGTGGTCAGGTCAAATTTTCAGCATTTACTTTGTTGTGTACAAGGTCAGGGTGTACTTTACTACCTAACATTAGAAAAAATAATTGTACACCATTTGTCATGTTTAAGGCAGGACATATAGTAAATAATCACAAAACAGGTAGATTCATGCTCTTACCTTCAATTTTTTTTTTATAATTACGATGGCGAGCTCCCGAGTGCCGCACACGCACAGCAGCCGCGACACCGGCGCTATTACTGCGCGCGGTCACATTACTGCGCATCAAGCAGCATCAAGAACCATAAAAATGTACCGGGCCAAGGTAACAAGAATCCATGAAATTTGATCCTCGACGCCTACGGGACGGGCGGCTAAATAAAAGCTCACTATACAGCACCTATATATATGGCATGGAAAATGGATGCCAATGGGATGCTGGGTTGCAGGGGATATAGGGTGGGGAGATTGGGATAGGTTAGGTTAGGTTACGTTAGGTTAGGTTAGGCTAGGTCAGGTTAGGTTAGGTTAGGTTAGGTTAGGTTTGGTTAGGTTAGGTTGGTTAGGTTAGGTTAGGTTAGGTTGGTTAGGTTAGGTTAGGTTAGGTTACATTAGGTTAGGTTATGTTATGCTATGTTATGTTAGTTATGTTATGTTATGTTCAGTTTGGTGGGTTGGGTCAGGTCAGGTCAGGTCAGGTCAGGTCAGGTCAGGTCAGGTCAGGTTAGCTTAGCTTAGCTTAGCTTAGCTTAGCTTAGGTTCTGGTCTATTCTCAGTTAGGTTAGGTTAGGTTAGGTTAGGTTAGGTCAGGTTAGGTTCGCAACAACGCAGAAACGGCGCTTGGGAGCCGAGGCGGTGCGGTGCAGTACGTGTGGCGCTCGGGAGCTCGCTACCGTATTTATTAAAATTCGAGGGTAGGAGCATGATTCTACCTGCTTTGAAATTGTTTACGACATGATCTGCCTTAAACACGACGAATGGTTTACCTTGGTCCCGTACATTTTGTATAGTTCTTGGCAAGCAGAAATATTGTATTTACGTAACGGCAACGCAGAAACGGTGCTGGGGAGCCCAGGCGGTGCTGTGCGCGCGGCGCTCGGGAGCTCGCCATCTTAGTTATTGAAATTTGAAGGTAGGAGCATGATTCTACCTGTTTGAGATTATTTACGATATGTGCCGCCTTAAACATGACAAATGGTGTGCAATGATTTTTTCCAACATTGGGTAGGAAAGTACACCTACACCGGGAGGGCCATGCAACTCTCCCAAGGTCTTATGTGTTGCAAAACTTATTCCTAAAACCAGTAAAGGTGGTGAAATAAACTGCAACATATCATACAAATGATGACAATGCAGCTTAGCAAACAAACAAAGTTAAGTGATGATACTATCCAGAAAAACAAGAAATTCACCAGCAAGCTTACAGGAGTAGTCCACAATATGTGTTGGCACTTTCTCAGGAGTGACATCAGCAGGTATAGTAATTTCTTCAGATTTTGCTGGCACTTCTTCTGGGAATTCTTCACTCACCTGGACAAAATAGAAAGCATGCAATAGCAATGTGAAATCCTTTTCATTAACACCATTATCACAACTTAGATGCATTACCTGGTCTCAGTGAAGAGTAAATACGATCAACTGTGTTTGCCAAAAGGCCAACTTTACAGGCAGCACCAAATGGCTTTTTCTAAGTTTCTTTAAATCCAAATTTCCCTTAAATCAATTACTTACACCAGCCACATAAGTTGTACCAAGATGTACAAATAACCACTGCAAACTGGCAACAATAATAATGCTACTGAGCAGGCAAAACAACCAACCAAACCTTTTCTGCAACTCTTCACATAATGGTTTGAGGAACCCATGGAAGTCAGATTTCAACCAGCTGAGAATGCTATGAAACCAAAGGACACCAAACCATACTAGCATGATAACCAGCAAAAGTACTTACTAGAGACAAGATCAAGGATGTCTTCCAACACCAGGTTCACCAAGCAACAGAATGCGGACATCTCTTCTTGACTGTACCATGTTGCAAGAACTACCCGCTTTGAGCATTTAAAAATAAGGCTATTCAGTGACTATTGAAATCAACACTCAAACTAATTTATCTTGCTGTGTCATTTTTGTAGCTGTCAGCAAACATTTCACAATGTAAATGGAATCATCACAAACAGGGTAAAGCAGTCTGGCACATGATGTAAGACATTGGATGGAGCAAATAAGCCGATGTAAGCCCTGACTGGAACATCTGGCAATAGATGTTGAATGCGAACAAGCAATCTAAAAGTGCATTTGCAGCCTTCAATCTTTTGAGAACCCATCGGCACTAATGAGGTTGCAACGTGCTTGGGTGGAAATATATTACCCCTGAAAACATGATCATGAAAATGGTAAGAACCGACCAGAAACTGTATCACACTCTGAATCCACAAACTGTTCTCACGCCACAGAGACAGGGTCGGTAACGCCCCTTTCCGTAATGACACACACACACTCATACACACAACAGGCCAACCTCCAGTTACGTTACAACACATTCACGATTTTCTCACGCGAAAAATCGTGGCGCGCTTAGCGATAGCGGCACGCCAAATTCGCCTAGGTTTAATTTCTTCTACTAAATTTGTAGAAGTGGCGTTTTGCATCTGCGTACTGGCAGCTCACGATGTTTTAAACCAAGCACAATACACAACTTTTTCGCCGCAGGAAAAATAACGACGAATTTTCTTTTCATTCTTTCTTGGCCCATAGAACCCAAGTCCAACTAAACCAGCAAGTTCGCAACGAATAGAATCTCATGTTTCAACGAGAGAGTAAAGTGAACTAAATTAGACATCATCCTCCCAGTCAGCGTATTGCTGCGGCCCTGCTGTGGCCCCATGTGGCTCGTCGGTTGGACCGAACAGCAACGCTCGGGCCACATGTGAACGCACCAACGCAACGCAACGCAATGCGGGCCAACGCACAACTGAACGGGGCTGGCCCAACGACTTAGCCATCCACGTGAGGGGTGGCATGCGCGTGGCGTGGACTGAGGAAGTAGTGGCGACGAATCTGTGGGGAACAGCAATGAATGCAAACTGTATCCCCCATCTTTTCCGTTGGGGTGACACCTACATCACCTCCTTTCATGATTTCAGGCGGCATAGATGGGGCTCTCGGAAAAGCGGAAATACTTCGCTTACGGTAGTACCGGAGAAGGCGTAGTGGCAGGGGCCATGTCGGGGCCGGAAAGGGACGTCCTACCGTCAGGGAGGTATCGTCTTGAGCCCTGACAGATCCAATCTTAAGCTTTCACGGCCGACCGGAAAGGGCCACACTTGTCTGACCTTCTGCCACACTTGCCCGGCCTTAAGCCAAACCTGCCCGGCATTTTGCTACTCTTACACACACTTCCCTCCCTTCAGCTGCACGATCCACCCTCCAGACACCCCACTTCGCCTTCAATCCACCTGAGCATATTCTCCTCTCTTCTCTGGTTGCATGCCTTCCAAGTATTTCTTCCTTCACCGAGGAACCGGTACCTCATTTCTCTCCACCCACCGCTGGTCCCTTTTGTGATAATGATAGTCATCATAATGCTAATGAAAAACACCGATAGAAGCATTCTCTGTTCGGTGAACCCCTTCGCGTTCCGCAGAGAGCTGGAGCTAGCTGTGGACGAAATATGTGACGCAAAGCCCATTGCTGTACAGTGACAAGGTAAGGTAAGGTAATAAGAAAAGATGGGAGAAAGTGCGTGAGAAAGAGAAGAAAGGCTCTCATAATGTGAGGTTTAATGTCATCGCTTAACATTTACAGGTACTTCCCGGATCTGCGCGCCCAGAGCCAGAAAATACTGGCGCAACCCAGCCGTGACATGGCGTTGCGTGGCATGAGAATACCGTCTGCGACACCGTCAGACTAAAATGGCCGGAAGGAAAAGCGCCAGCTTATTTTATGATTAACTGGAAACACAACTGCTCTTGGTGGGCGCAAAGCAAAAACTGTATAGTTTTTAGACGTTAGCTTTGGAGAACTCGGGGGATGTACCGCATGACAGGCACGTCGTCTAGCGGTTTTAAATGAATGGACATCCGTAAAATTAGTTTTGCCCCGCACGTAGATGATTTCATCATCTCCTGCTGCACGTTTCATAGTTGTGTTGCCAGTTACGAGGCCCCATAACGATTTAATGTCATCAGATAGTTTTGGCTTCATCTCGGTGCAGTTGGCGTTTGGCGCATGTAAGGCATCAAAATATTCTTTCGGCAGCTTTAGATTGAACTTACTATTCGAAATCAATGATATCATCTATAAAAGAATGGATGTTTTATGAGACATGCGAGATTGCTGCACGACCGTTACTTAAGTGCTGCAGTGCGGTGAACCGAAACTCTCACTGCGCATTGGACAGTATCGCTGCTGTTTTCCCTTGTTAAACCACTAGCATTAGCCATGGATATATGCGTGATATATATGTCTGGAGGCACGATATATGTTGAGCAAAAATGTCAAAGGCTGGCGTACTGCATCCACCTGCAAACGCGCCAAAAACCCAACCAGTCTGATTCTGTGAGGCATGTTTTCTGGAAACAAGACATACATATAACGGGTCGTAAAATTATGTAAGAGAGCCCTATTCTGGACGAAAAACAAGCTTCCGAAGAAAACTGAGGAGGCATAAAGATAGCAAAAGGAAAGAAGGCAAGTCCATGGAAAGGAAAACAATTATTCAGGCAGACGCATCTGGGCCAAGGGCTGTGAAAGGAGAATGGTTGTTTGCTTACAGAACAACAGGAGGAAATTAAAACTGATTTCTGCGTCAGCCGAATTCGCGCCTGCGTTGCCCACTTCCCGCGCTTTTTGCGATGCGAAGCGCGAGCGACGCGGGCGGCGCGCGCGCCTGTGCGCTGCGAGGGAGGCGTGCACTGGCCGCAGTTGTGAGCTGGCACCGGGGTGGCGCAGGCCTCTCCCACTGGCCTCCAGCGTCCGCTGTCTGTGCAGGTCAGCGCGAGTGCCTTCTCTCTGGACAGGAGCTGGCCAGCGCGCTGTGTCACCGGCTCTCGGTTCCAGAGAGAGGCCCGCCGCCCAGCCGCCGTTGGCAGCCGCAGGGGTACCCGACACCCCACGAGGGACCGCTGCGTACACCGCCAGGGGCGGGAGCCTTCGCGCGAGGTCCGACAGGTCGGAGCGTCGGGTGACGCCACCCAGCAGGGCTCGGACTCGGCGGCCGGCACCACCAGCGCTGCTCGGAGGCCTAGTGGCTGAGCTGGGGGACCTGCTCCAGTGACCTGAGCTAACTTATGCCAGTGACCTGAGCTAACTTACGCCAGTGACCTGAGCTAACTTACGCCAGTGATCTGAGCTGACTTACGTCAGCGACCTGAGCTAACTTACGCCAGTGACCTGAGCTAACTTACGCCAGCGGCCTGAGCTAACTTACGCCAGTGACCTGAGCTAACTTACGCAAGTGACCTGAGCTATCTTACGCCAGTGACCTGAGGTGACCTGCTGACAGCCTTCCACGGAGCCAGGCGGACTCAGACCGACGTGCTGAGAGAGTGGTGACCCGCTGCTGACCTCGTGGTGGCCCCGCCGCTAAGATGGCCTACCCCCACCTCGTGGCTCTGGGTCTGTCTCTGCTTGTGCTGCTCAGCCTGGGCTTGATCACGCTCTCCAACTACCAGATGACGGTGCGAGCTATTGAGGCCAGCAGGAGCACCACCACCACTACAACGACCACCACTACCGCCGCCACCACCACCACGGTGTCGTCCCTGGTACGTAGCAGCGAGGAGGCCGCTCGACCGGCGCCAATGTGAGGTCAATCACCACCAGAGAGCGGCGTTCACATCATCCGCAAGAGGGACAAGTGATGAGCGGACTGTGAAGGATACCGATAAGCCCTTGCTCATAGGATACAAACGGCAAATGAGATCTTTTGTAGCTTCTTCAAGGCTTAAAAGCCGGCACGGAAAGGCAAGCATTGTTCTTGAAATATTGATCGTGAGATCAATGAATTGGTTAACTTCTGATTTCGCTGACTTCCAATGTGCACCAAGCACTACGACAACAATACGTAGGCGTAACATAAAATCGATAGATCAAACAACGGTAGCATCCTGCGCATCATTGGTTCTGTTTCAGCTACACCATCAATTCGTTATTTGTCTCGCATTTCCCTTCCTCACATAAGTATGGCTTCACGTGAAAATGTGTCGTTAATAGAACAGCCGAATAAACACACACGCAAGCGCGAAATGAACTGTTCACCGCAGAGCAGGGAGAAAGGAGCTTTTTGCCCTTATTCTGTCATATGAGGAGCGGCTTTTTTAACACTTAGCACTAAGTATAACTATGCTGAAAAGATGAGACCGAATGACAGTTGATTAGCTGATTTAATAATCAGATGGAAATAATCTTGGGCTAGCTAGAGACCACGTAGTTTTGCTCAACATGTTGTACAACGCGCCCCTTTATCATGTTCTGCTTACATGTTACGCAACAAATGGTCTGTAGAGAGCAGTCGCTCACTTTTCATGCCGTTAATAATAAAACTGACCTTTTGTGGGAGAAGCTAAGCTTTTCGTTGAAATGCCTCGAATCAGGTGCGAATATGAATCGAACATCACCATGCTTCACGAGAGGAGTCTAGAGGAACGAATTAAGTGCACACACACACATATACTTAGTTATGTATCTATCTATGTATATACGTATACATATATGACTATATATTCATCTCTTTGCACATATACTGATAGAGA